TGTGTCCCCCCCACACACATACACTGGTCTCCACGTGGGGAAATCACACCTACCCGGAGGCACTTTCTCAGCCACTGCCCCCAGATATTCAGTGAAACCTGAGCTGGATGCCTCGGGGGTTCAGGCTAGGCTACAGGACCCCCTACAGAATGGCTCCCCCATCACCCAGACAATAGCCTGACCTTGAGGGGGCAGTCCATGTGCCCAGCAGGAGGTGTACCTCCGGGGCTTAAGGCCCCAGGCACTGGGCCAGGATGCCTTCGTCCAGTCTGCCGAGAGAGAGGACAGAGCAGTCAGCAAGCTGGGCACACAGACGGCGGGAAGGCGTCCTGGTGCAAGATAAGCCCAGAGAGTCTGACACAGAGTGCCCCCATACCGTCCGCACAGGGGTGGTCTCTCTGCCCTGAAGCCAAAAACACTGCTTGTTGCTTCAGAAGAAAACGAGAACGGGGTCAGGACACTGAAAACCTCACCTACAGTGAGGGGCAAGCACGGTGAATCATGACAGTGAGGAAGCCAAGGTCATGGCCACACTGCCTGGGCCCCGCCTGCAGGCGCAGTGCCACCCTGGACCTCTTACCCCCCACGAAGGCTGGAACCCCCCACCGAGGGCCTAGACGCAGCAGAGCTCCCAGGCCCACGGCCAGCCAGGGAGGGACGGCAACCGCCTCTCACCTACTTCCCTAGGACAACAGGCGGCTTGAGAACCCAACACACGAAGCCTGTCCACCTCAGAGGACAGAGGCCAGAGAAAGCGATGCCAGTCTGGCCTCACTCCACTGTGCACTCCAGCAAGAGGACCCCTGCAAGAGGACGGGCGGTGGGAGGCAGATCTGACCTGGGGTGCCGCTGCCAGGAAGGGAGGGGACCCACAGCAGGCACAGGCTTCTGGCCGGCACCACTTCTACGCCCCTCCCTACAGTGAACCGGACACTTTCAGACCAAACATACAGCTCTTTCTATAAGGATAAACCTGCTCAACAACCCAATGGCCCATTAGAGGGAGTTGAGTTTTAAATATGGCTCACTACGTAATAAAACCGCGCTTATTTTTAAAAATATGGGGTTGCCTGTGTGATGAATGCCCATGCATCTGAAGAGCGCGTAACGCACACAAGGACTGTGGCCTCTGAAAGGGCAGCTGGGGGTGAAGTGCGGCTCACAGCGGGGCTGGGACTGCGGACAATAACCTCTTTGTGTTGTTGTGACCTTTTAAAGGTCCCTATTGGGGAAGGGGTGCTCAGCCTTCTGATCAGGAACGTCAAGTCCCAATCCATCCCTTTTGGGTCCCACAGACCCTGTGCTTCACCCGAACTCCTGGGGACAAATATCTAAAATATATATATCTAAATATATATATTAAAATATATCTAAAATACCACGGGCCTGTAAGTTCCAGTGACGGGAAAACGCTCGCGTAGACAAGGGCCACAAGCAGACAGCTGGCGAGTTGTTTTGACAGCACTCAAATCCTGACGGGTCACCTGCAGTTCCCCAGCTGTTCAGGGCAGATCCTGCCCTGGGTGTCACGGAACCACAACAGAGGACACGGCCCACAGGTGGCCATCTCGGACCACTGCCTCCACGGCTAGTCTGCCAGGACAGCCTGACCCAGGCCCCAGCTCACCGCAGCCAGGGCACAGCCACCAGAGAGTCGCCACCAGCACGTCTTCTGGGAATACCGATTTTACTTTTCTAGTGATAAGGATCAATGGCTGACACAGGGCACAGGTCCTGACGGTGTTTCTGGAGTGAACACTAGATGCAAAGGGCTGTCTAGACCAGCCTCTGTCTAAAGCAGCGGTGGGGAACGCCCGGATTGCAAGGCCCGCGCAATCATGTGGTCTGCCCCTGCCAAGGCATTAGGGATGAGGTAATTAAATGACCAAATATAGCAGCTAAAAGGTCCTAAATAGACACTTTTCGAAAGGGGACATACAGAAGGCCAAGAAACATATGAAAACATGCTCAAAGTCACTAATCATTTGAGAGATGCAAATCAAAATGACAATGAGGTACCATCTCACCCCTGTCAGAAGGGCTATCATCAACAAATCAACAAACAAGTGCTGGGAAGGATGCAGAGAAAAAGAAACCCTTGTGCACTGCTGGTGGGAATGCAGTATGGTGTTTCCTCAAAAAATTAAAAATGGAACTTCCATTTGACCCAGTGATCCCACTTCTATATATAGATCCCACTTCTATATCCCAAGAAACCAGAAACACCAATCAGAAAAGATATGCACCCCTATGTTCATAGCAGCACAATTCACTACAGGTAAGATTTGGAAACA